TGCTTAGATTCAGAGCCCATTGACAGAATGCCAGGGGTTCTTACTCCCAATGGACTGTAATCTGCTTTCACATGCTTAACAGCACTGTAAGTAGCTTTGTAGAGAAAATTCCAATTCAAATGATTCCAAAGTGTTTGTGAATCTCATAGAGCTGAATGTCATTGTTAATTCAAGGATGATTTATATATATATTGTAATTTTTATGATTGTGTCCAAGGTCTGTGTTGGAAGAACTGCAAGTGAGTGCACAACGCTTTTTGTCAGTTGAAAAGACGGGAAAAGTGAAAGGGCTCATCCTCACTCTTAAGGGAAATTCCAGTGGGAAAGGCTATGATTTTTACTCCAGATATTTTGCACCTTGGTATGGAGTTCTGGAAGACCCTGTTACAGGTATGTATGTGTGAGATAAGCAACTCTTCCTTTTGTTTCAGTTCAATCAAAAGTTTTTTATTAAACTTCATGAATCTGTTTTTGTTCTTTGGAGTCCCTTCTACCTTAGTGTTTTATGTGGACAGCAGGAGTGCTCATTCAACTGAGAACTTTCAGGACTGCTGGCAACTCATTCAGAAAAAATCAAATCATCTTCTTGCTGTCATTAGGCCAGACATTCCTGTGTCTTTTTCAGATTCTGAATGGCTGAGGTTTTTCTAGGCTTGTTATAGCTCACTGTTGCTCTTTTTCCATCTTAAAATGTCCTTCCCTTGAGAGAAAGAAATCTTTTTGTTGTATTGCCCAGGTGTGCTTTTAACAGTGTTAGGGCTTTGTATTCTGTTTCTCTTTTGACCATTTGTGAGTAAGGCCTGGTGTCCCTGAGCCCTGAGAATTGTAGTTCCTTCGGAGTGGGGTTTTCTGCAGGGTCCTTTCGTCCAGCTGTTAATGTAGCCTGAAGCAGCATTTCTAGCCATGAATCTCAGAAGTCATCTGAGTTTCTTAAGCTATTGATCAGGAAACTGGAAGTTGTTCTGTTAGGTTTCAGAAGCTGTGGTGAGACCTTGAAGTTACATCCTGACACTTAACAGCATTCAAGACTGGAAAACCTCCCAAGGAGAGGAAATAGTTTTGTTTTACATAGTGGCTGCTATCTACCTCTTGCTACTTTTAAAAAATACCCAGAAGCTTAATCAGATATTGGATGGGTAGCTGTTCATGTTTCATTGAATAACATCATGTTTAGATGAATAAGATTTTGAATATAGGATTTGGAGATTCTGTTATTAGGAAACTTCAGTTTTGGTAACCAAATGAATAGTTTGGCTCAAGTGTCAGAGTTGGTACTATTTGTTATTCCTACCAGTGGTGGCTAATGCTGAAAGCCTCACCTGAACCAAATTTCCATTGCAGCCAGAGGATGAGGAAGTAATACTGCTTTATTGTAAATAATGGCAGTTATAAAGCCTTAAGTTCTGTCTGCTGTGCAAACTTTTAGATCTTTTTTTGCCCTAGAGACACGTGGCACTTGGTTTATGACATTTACATTTTGTCTGTGCTTGCTCTATAAAATAGCGATTGTAATTTAATTCTGTACTTTGTTTTCCAATTTCTTTTAAGGGTCTACCCATGCTGTTTTGAGCAGCTACTGGTCAGAAAAACTGGGGAAGAAAGAAATGCTTGGTAAGAGAAACTGTTTTATTGCAAAGCTGCCCTTTTATGTAAATCCACTCACTAGAAGAGACAAGGTTGCATTACTACAAACTGCAGCACTAACTCCCTGTCCATTTCCTCAGTCTGAGTAGAACAATCTGGCATATTTTGCATGTGAGGTGATCTTTGCTAAATTGCTTTCTTTCCTACCCACCGACATGGCACGTCCTGCCCACAGGGAGGTTACAAGTGTTGTTTTCTGGATCGTAACTCTGTGCAGATGGTTTTTGATTTCAGCTTTTGGATTTTAGTTCTCCTGACCTTTCACCCCAAGTGAAGCTTGGTGAAACTCAGGTGATGTTGTTTATGTGTTTTGACTGGATTTTACTTTCCTGCTTGGTGTTTCTGGGTTACATGTTGGGTGTTGGGAACAGGTATCAGTATTTTCATTAACCTTGTTATGCCTTGAGCAGTGTTTTCCTTTCCCCTCATGTCTATTGAGACCAGAACAGCTCATATAACTTCTGATTCATTTTGCAGTTTTCTGGATAGTTGCTCCAGATTTATCCTTTCCGTGACTTATTTAGGAAACTTAGGGTTTAGAATAGGTAGTGTTGTTATGGCTAGGTAAGAAGAGAATGTATTTTTAATACCAATTTTTTATCTATGCATTGAGGTATGAAGATAGTTTTGCTCAGGCTTATGAATTTTGATGTGGTAGCCAGGCAGGAGATAAGAAATAGTAGTCTCTCAGGTTACAGGAAGAGAAAGAACATGACTGACCTTAAATGTGTAAGAGTGGGGACATGGTCTGTGGGCATCATCAGGTTTTATTTATTTGTGATTTTACCTGCAGGCTTACTTTTAAATAATCAAGTCTTAAAGGAATCTGAGATGACTGGACCTCTTAAAACAAAGAACAGATTTATTGGTATTCTTTCAATCAAGGGGATGTGCTTTATAGACCACATATTTGTTGTTAAGGAAGAAACTCAAGGGAAAGAAAACGAGAGAAACTGTTAATACGTGACAACACCAGATAAAGAGGGATTGGGTGAGCCTTTGCTTCTCCTGTCTGTAGTGCTTTGCCAAAGAACAGAAGAGCAAGAGAAGCAACACAAAATTCCCTCATCCCCTGCCTGGTTCCCCTTTTGAAGAAACTGTCTCAAGCACCAAAGGCAGTTATGTTGGAATCAGCCTCTCTGATGTGTTCAGCACAAAAAAAGTCCTGTTGTTCCACAAGAGAGGCTTGGGGTTTTTTTCGATTTCCACGCAAAGATGTCCTCAAGCTTCTTCTGTGGTACAAGTCATACAGACCAGATTTAAATACAACAAGTTAGTGTGATCCTTCTTGTCTTTGGGTTCTCTTTCTACTTTTATTAGACAGAGTTCTCAAACAACAACCACCCCCACTGACCACAAAAAGAATTTTCCATGTGAAATACTTTATGATCTTTCTTGAGACTGTGTACATCTCCCTGAATTTGAGCTGCTGGCTAAATCAAGCTTCAGTATCAGGCCTTGCCTTTCTTTCATTTGAGGAGTCTCTGCAATATTTAAAAACTGTGATCTCAGATATACAGCCCTTGGCAGCTGGTAATGAGTGCAGGGTATAGCAACTGTCTGTGTATCCAGCCCTTCACAGGGTTTGCACATTTCTAAGGTAATGTTTATAAACGTGCTTAAGGAATTCCATATAA